ACAGGTGAGCGAGCTTTCTTTGACTTTTAAGTCTTAGACAGTGATGGAAAGCTGGTATGCGCCTGGAAGAGTGCCATCTTTGCTACCGCTTCAGCTCAACGTCCCAGCGCGAGTCCAAGACTGACAGAGGTTACCACAACTCTCAAGTGCAGCTTGTCCTTGACCTGTGGGCCTCGCCGTGTTTGTGATCCGAGCTCGAAGATGCTTCTTGAGCCAGAACTTTGGTCAACACACAGGACTGCTACCCTCATCGGAATTGTTCTGATTGTCAAGACTTGGTGTGCCCGGAGAGTTCAGTCGGTGCCAGAATCAAGATGCATCCTAGTCAGCGCCCACCGCCAAAAGTTTGTTACACCTCCCCCGGCTTAAGCTTGCACTCAAGCAGCTCACTGGTTTTAGCTCTTTTGCGACAATTGTGAGACCACTTTGGCAGCTCTCCTTCGCAGCGGTTCGCTGGTCAGCCATGGGTTGCCCTGGCTGGGGGCCATCGAGATGGATCTGTCACAGCCTCCTGCCGCAAGTACTGATAAGCGGTCCTGAGCCCTCTTGACTCTTTGACCCGACCCTCAAGCGGAGAATTCACAGCCACGATGTTCCGTAAAGTTCGGAGCCCTGAAGCAAGAAACCGGGAGCCCAAGACCCGAAGCCACGAGCCGAATTCCTTAATTTTCAGAATGACTTCCACTCCAAGCCACACAGCCGCAGCCTCACGCGCCCCACGCATAAACCAACAAATTGTAAGCCCGAGACCATGCCAACCTCAACAGACCCGCCCAACAGATGCCGAAACCTTGTGAACTCTGACATACGCATCGTGCGAACTGGAAGTCTTTGAGACCATAAATTCAACTCCCAAAATGTTACCGTCCGAGAATCGAAACAGTTTGCAACAGCCATTCCAGTACAAGAGCCCTTATCAAGACCCCCGCAAAGCACCGGAAAGCCCAAAACCCAAAGTGAGCTCGGAGGTGCATAGTGCGAAGTTGCTGCTGTTGAGACTGACAGACTGATGGATTGCTTTGGGTTCGTCGTGGTATTATGGCAAGGTCGAGTTTGGGTTTTATGCTTGCAGTTTGCTGGCAAGGCAGACTGGTCTTTCGATCTCCGATCTCCTACCTCAGCCTTTCAGGCGGTCTAACTGGATAGGCAGGCAGAAAGGAGGTCTTAAAAAAACTCCAAAACCCTAAACCCCTAAACCCTAAGCCCCTCAACCCTAAAAACCCTTGCAGAAAGCCCGAAGCCCTTAACCCTAAAACCCAAAGCCTCAACACCACGAAACACACAGCCCGAAACCTCTGAACCCCAACACCAACGAAGTCATCCAACCCCCCCGGGAGACGACACCAAAGGACCTTGCAGGGCCTCTGGCAGCGAGGCTTCGGCCTCGGCTCGCTCTGCAGCAGCTGCACGACCCTTCGGCTGACCTCAGATGGGACTTAAAACTAAACTTTAAGGGTTCCTTGATACTTAAGATAAACTTTAAGGGTCCCTTCATGTCATACCGGGGGTAGCAAGATTTGAGGAGGAGGTGGGCAGGCGTGCGCAGCTCTAAGCGCTACAAGTTGACAAGGACGTTCGTCGTGCCAGAGACACATCGGTTGGCTCGGTTCGGCAAGAAGACGCCCGGCTTGGTCCAGAGATTTTTTTTTGACCTTCGCGATTCAGCTTCGAAGGGTCGGGGGTCTCACACGACAGTTGGGCCAGGATTCGTGGAAAGTCGGAGGAGAAGAACCTGGACTTCGCTGCAAGTGAGGCCTCCGACATGGCCCAAAGGTCCTCCTCCGACGGCATCAATGCGGATGGGGAGCTCACGCCAAGTACCCGGAAAACGGCGCTGGAAGCGATGCGAAACGTGCTCCAGCGGACGGAGTTCACTCCGCGGGCTCGCGCGGAGGAGGATGGCTTTGGAATGGAGGCCGAAGTCGAGGACGACGTAGCTTGGTCAATTCTGGAGTCTCAGTTTCTTCGGTCTTCGGGTCCACATACGGTAAAGCACAGTAGGAAGCGGTTTGGTCCTGGCAGAACCGCGAGGTAACCCGCAAGCTGCACACCCGCTTCCTGGAAGCGGCCCGCTCTGGCAACTTCCGGGGGGTAGTCGAGGCTTTGTCGGAAGGGGCAGACCTCCACTGCCGCACTGCGAGAGGCAGGGGTTCAGCGAATGGGCGGCTCTTCTTTCTGAATTGCGCATTTAGCCTTGATAGGCATCATGCATAGATGACATAGATGTCCTACGGCAATTCGGAAGCTTCGCATTCGCCTTTCGACACCAGACGCTAATCCTCAAAGGACGCAGCTAGAAGAGTCCTAGTATTTTTCTCTTCCTTTCCCAGGTCAAACCGCCTTGATGCTGGCAGCTGCCTGCAGAGGACAAAGTTCCCTGCCGCTGGGCTGGGCTCTTCTGCCATTTTTTTTTTGTTGCCATCCGCAGGCAAGGAAGATACAATCCTTCAGCTTTCCTTTTGCAATGCCATCTTTGGAACACTCCCCGAAGCTTCCGCACCTGATGTGTCGTTGCCTCGCCAAGAAGTGCAAAGGCAGATCATCGGCTTCCTTGTGGAGCCCGGCCCTCAATGTGCGAGACGGCTTTTGATTTCCAGTTCGTGGTCTCGGCGCAGTTTGAGGTTCAAGGGGACTGCAAGGTTCTTGAAGCCTTCGCTCGCCGTGGAGGGTTTGTCTGTTAGGTGCCGAGTGGACGTCGAAGCGGCGGACCACCATGGCTGGACAGCCCTGTTGCATGCCTGCCGCAACGACATGAAGGAGGCCTTTCAGAACAATGTATCATGCTGAGAATTCACTTCTGTCAGAATGCCTCCTGCCTCAGATGTGGCAGAACCGCAGCGCAAGGCATTGAGTCTTTGTGCATTTTATCCCGCGAGGCAGCGGAGTTGCTGCTGAAAAGCCAAGCCAATGTCAATGCCAAGTCTGCTGATGGGCAGGCAGGACCTAGCTTCAGAGATTATAGTTATATAATAATTATAGTATATAATATCAAAGTTTTATATTATAGTATATTATAGTATAGTATATTATATTAGATCTTCTGAGTGCATTTTGGCGGGGTGGGGGTTCTCTCCGCCAGAATGCAGCGATGCTGGCCGCGGTGGAGTCATGGCCTCAGGAAGCCGTGTTGACCTGAACTTACAGTACGATTCTGCCACATCCACGCCCAGCAGCCAGGTCGGGTGATGAACTTGTCATGCGACTCGTAGGCGAGATGACGGCAACTTTCCCAGTGTGTTTACAGTTTGCGTTTTCACTGGCAGGATTCCGAGTGGGGCTTGAGCGTTCAGATCGCCGTGGCTACACATTGTTGCTGCTTGGAGCAATGGTACGGCCACGATTTTTTTGTACCGTTGCAGACAGGAGCTAAAAGTGGGGTGAGCAGCAGAAGACAGTTCGCAAGCACATGCCTCCTCTCTGGATCTCGTGGGACGCAGTGGGGCAATGACCAAATCCCCTCAAACACTTTGGCTCCACAGCACTGACCTCTTCAGGATCTATCGATTCCTCTGCAGATCTGAGGGTTGATCTGAGGTTCTATGCTGTGGAGACCGGGCGCTCGGTGCTCAGCGAGTTCGTCCCCAGTTGGAGCCTTTGACAGGAGCTTTCCTCCGGGGTTTAAGGCGAGGACCTGGCGAAATGGCTGCTGAAGACGAAGTCCAACCCCAACGCTCGCTCCAAGGATGGAGCTCTGATGCCCTGCCGTTTGGACATGGGGCTTGAGCAGAGCGGATAAGATGCTGAAGATCATTCGGCACATGCGTTGCTCGCAGGACAAGAGCACCTGCACTATTCTGGCTGCTGAGAAGGGCCCACGGCCACAGATCGTCAGGGCGCCATCATGTTTTTCCAGAGTCCGTGTGACCATCAGGTCATCTGAAAATCTTGAAGGCTCTTGTGGCCAAGAATGTTGATGTGACTCGCTTGCACAGTCGGGTCCCGATTTGGTGGCGAGTTCTTTGGGCGCCTTCCGGCTCCAAGGTAAATGCGCAGGACCTCATGGGCCCGGCGCTGAGACCTGATGTGAAGCACACGATTCCAGTTGCACTCGAAAGTCTCTGGACCGAGCGCCAGTGCAGTCAAGGAAACAATGCCTTGCTGCTCAGTGTGATGGCGGCGAGGGATCGTGTTTTGTCAACATCTGCAGTGCCGGAGGTCCCTGCATGCCCATCAGCTTGCGCTGCCTAGCAGGACAATGTTGCACGATATCTCCTCAACAAAGGGGCAGACTGCAACGTGAAAAACAAGGCATCAGAACTTAATTCTGACGTTTCATTTGCATCGTGTTCGGGCGGGGATGTGCACCGGCTGATTGAGTATCCCAAAGGACGGAACCACGGCCGGGAGCTCGAGTTCGAAGAGATGCAGAAGTTCTCTAGGACCTAGGACCATACGCTGGAACAGCAGCCAATACGAAACTGCACCGTGTTTCGTTTTCTGATGCTATCTTCCATAGCTTTGCATCGCGGCATATCGAGGCATTGGAGGTCGCGGCGAAGCTGAAGCTGGGGCCGGTGGGGCGGCCTAGTGAGATTCTGTTTTCGCTCTCAGCATCTCAGTTCTTGCTGCTGCTCAGCTCAAGAGCCTCCTGGACGTGATGTCGCGGAAGACCCAGGAAGGGCCCTGTTTGGATATGCTCGAAGGGGGAAGGTCCGTGCATCAACCACACCATATTCAAAAAGCGAATGCAGCCAGGATCGAGGTGGCGAAGAGGATGACGACCTGTAGCTTAAACATGCTTTGGCGTCCTCGTGTTGGCCTCCTGGGTGGTCCCGTGATGCTGCTCAAAATGAGCAGGGCTTGTAAACGAAGAGCAGCATCTCGGTGCGGGATGGCACTGAAATTGGTGCGGTCCGGTGCAAAGATGCGGTTTCGACAGCTGCGACTGTGCTGATCAAAATCACGAGCACCTGCATGCGAAGCGCACGGGATTTGAGAAGATGTGTTCTCAGTACAAAGTCAAGGTGTCGAGACCACAGCGACAGCATCGACAGCATCCTATGCTTGGAAGAGTTTCTCCGCTGGCTGCACCCTTGGTGGTGTCCCCAGATCTCCATCGGAGCTCGTGCGACTCATGGTGGGCCCTCGGGGCAGCTGCAGAGGTTTTCGCAGGATGGGCGAAGAGCGCGAGCAGACGGCGAACGCTAGGGCGGCTTTCCTTCGCCTTCGGCAAGCCACGTGAACGAAGGCTGTCCGAAAGCCCACAGAGCACGCCTGCACCATGCAGCACTCTGCAATTCTCTGGATCATCTGTAGGTCCTTTGGTGTATTTCGTTCCCGCGTGAAGGCAGGACCCGGTCGTGTGCTTCACAGCAGGTGTGCTTCGACAGATCGCGGCACCTGCAGGATGATCAGGATGATGGGTTGCAGGATGGCCGAGCCGTGCACTCGGTCACGGTGTAGACTTTGCTCAGGTGTTGGTCTACTTAGGTTGGCCTTCACTTCTTCTCGGATGCCAACTTCACCCCCCTGCGTGATCACTTCGTAGGCCTCTCTTCTTTGCCCCAACATCATCCCCGACCTGCCGCTGATCCAGGATCGGTGGCGGACGACCGGATAGAACTACGGGAGACCTTCGTCGAGGCAGCACTCCCGCACACTTTGGCTCGTGGAAGTTCCTGGAGTGACAGGATTTGGGCGTTATCAAGCAGCGAACGGCAGGTGGAGTCCGGTGCTTGGACTCGAAAGCAAGCCGGCCCTATCTCTGGCGTTGCCGACCCAGGTCCCAGTATACAAGTTCAAGACGTCGCTCGCCCGCACTTGAAAAACGTGTTCCGGAAGTTCCAGAGGTGCTCAGCCTCCTACCCCTGAAGAGTTTCCTAAGTATCCTACGCCTGCATGTTTCGGGCTCGAGTTCGCAGAACTGTGATGCAGATCTTTGCTGCATGATTGCGAGGAAGCTGCTGCTGGAAGCTCTGGAAGAGGCGGCCCCGCAGGAGTCCCGAGTCAGGAACAACAACAACAACTACTACTGCTACTGCTACTGCTACTGCTCCTGCTCCTACTCCTACTACTACTGCTGCTGCTGCTGCTGCTGCTGCTGCTACGACGACAACTACTACTACGTCTACTACCGCTACCACTACTTCTCCACTTCCGGCGCTGCTACTACGACTTCTGGATTCTGGCATCTTACAGAAGACGAAGAACATCAAGACGACGTAGGGCCTGCGGCAGTGCAGGAAGTCTTTCTCATCTCAGATGTGGACATCCAATTCTTCGGGGAGGTTCCTCATGTCACCAGAAGCCCAAACACATGAAGTGCTGAAGTCCAGCGTTTGCCGTAGATGCGTCCCTCTTCCGCCTGTCAGATCATCCCGCTCGTGAAGGAGGCACTGCAGAGCTTGGCTTGCAGGAAGTCTTCCGATATCTTTCAGCGATGTGGATACAGCCGGCTCCCTCCAAGAAGATGTCTCTTTCCCTCTCTGCGCTGATGCTCATCGGGGCTCGGCCTTCACGTGGCCAGGGCATTGCCGGGCGGGATCTGTGCCTTCAGCGGGAGTTCACCAACTTGGGCGGGCGTCTCTGGTACATCCTGGCATGCTGAGTCATAGAGTGAGCGATCCGTGGGGCGGAAGGTGTGAACATCGGCTTCATGGCAATCAGACGGACAGCTGCCAGCCTGAGGTTCTGGCCAAACTGCCACGTTTTCACAGCGGTGCGAAATCCTTGGCTGTCCTGGCTCTGAAGTTCTAGTGGACAGGCAGTCTGTGTGGGACGAGCTTCCAACTGGCCGCTGGATCCCCGGAGAAGCTGCCGGGCATGTTGTGACTCACACAATCCCTTCGCTGCCCAGGCCATGACCAACGCATCGCCAGCATCTCAGAAGCAGGTGCATGGTATTCCAGGCGTCATCAGGCTGGAGTTTCGACGTAGCTGAGGTCAACAACTTGTTGTATGCTGCGCAAGTGCCCGACATGTAGGCTCCTGAGTCACTGCTCGTCGAGCGACCGTCGTGCGCGTCCATGTTTCGATGATTTGATGTGTCAGTGCGCTGGAGGAGATGGGGATGCTTTCCTCCCGCCGTGTGGGCTTCGTCTCAGGCTCCGGGCTGAGACTTCTGCAAAAATCAGAGTGTCCTTCGGACCAGGCCTTTGATGGCAGCTGTGTGCCGGAGCAAATCATCCTCCATCATGCGAACTGGGTGGCCCCTGGCCCCAGCAGATCTTGGCCGAAGGGATGTTCCCAGCCCGGCAGCAGACGCATGGCTCCGGGCATGTGAGGTTCGCAACTACCAGGCCGGCCCTGAAGGAGGCGCTGTCGTCTGCTAGGACTGCTAGGAGGAGGAGCTTGGGTTTAAAGTTTAGGGTTTACGGTTTCGGGCTTTAGGGTTTTTGAAAGGGCAGCCTCCCCGCAGCTCCCAGCAGGTGCTGATGCCTCCAATCCGCCCCGGCCTTGGCTCGGATGGCTGACAATTCGGTGGGATGCAGCTCAGACCGGCAGCGTTGTGGTGTTGTTGCTGGTGGTGGTTGTGGCGGTGCTGCTGGTGGAGGTGGTGGTGGTGGTGTGGGGATAGTGGGGGTAGTGGAATAGATAGTGTTATGCGCCTTCCAGTCACAGTTGCCTCAGCAGCATGTAGCAGCAGCATGTAGCAGCAGCATGTAGAAGCAGCATGCAGCAGCAATTGACAACGAGAGTGATCATGAAAAAAACATGCATGTCTGGGCGACGAAGGCTGGCAAAGCTTCAACAGCTCCGGCAACTTCGCGAGGCGGTGCAGGCGCCTGGGGTTCAAGGCTTTCGGGCGGGGTTGAGAAGCTCCTTGGCGAAGGATGTGTAGACAGCGCTTAGACATTGAGGATGTTGGGCGTAGGGTTTGCAGCCGCTACGGCAGCCAACCAGGAGATAAGGCAGCTTCGCACATGCCGATCCTGGAAAACAAAAGTCCAACTTGTCCAAACAGCCCTTCCGCTCGGAGCATGCAGTGGCAGGGCGAGGATGATGGCGGCAAGCTTGATTTCTTCCGTGGCATCTCGCTGGATCCAGCCGGCGTCTCAGAGCTGCAACTGAGGCTGACCCGGTTAGGATGTAGGAGAGCCGAATGCTGAGGACCTCGCAGACTACCATCAGAGGTCTCTCCCTGAGCTTCCACAGGAGCTTCGAGTTCCAAGAGAACCGCGAACTTCTCAGGACCTTTGGCGACCTCAGATATGGTCCAGAGTGGACGGCCCGACCCCTGTCCCGATGGTGACAGTGTTTCTTGCGCCGAAACATGCAGTGCAGATCCATCTTCTGCCGCGACGTTGGTGCTGCCTAGCTCAGGCCTTGCCGATGGGACACCCAGCCCGGCCCGGCGGTACACGCCGCCAAGTCCGCTCAGCAAAGGCACGCTTCGAGAGGGGTTCACCACGACTTTGTGACTCCTGCGTGAGGGCTTCTTGCACTTTTGTCAGGCTGGGCTGCCGGAGGCTGGTTAATATGAAGGCATCGCATTCGTGGCCATATGAATGTTTGGGACGTGGTCAGCTTGCACAGAGGCATAGGAGTCCGACTAGAGCTTTGTCACGCTACACAGAGCTCATGAGATGATCGTGGAGCGGGATTACCACCGAGCAAAAAGCTCGAATGAGGGCAGCGCGCTGCCGGAAGAAGTCCACAGATCCATTCGAGATCTGGAGAGTGCGATGCATGCTGCCCATGGGGCCAGACCTGACAACGAGTGTTGAGCTTCTCACATCTCGTCCTACACCGCTTTGCCTCGCGCCTCCAGCCACGCACAGCACTTCGACCCGAACGCCTGGCCGCCGCCAACGGCGAGTCTGAGTCACGGCCTGGCATGGGATCGGCCACAGTGGCGGGGGTTCAGGGATCATTTCGGCGTTCGCGGTGAAAGATGTTCTGCGGTGCTGTACGGCTGAGCAAGTCAGATGGCTTCAGTTGATGACAGCTTGATAACAGTTTATGGCCTGATCGCTCTGAGGATTGCTTGTCACTGTCCGAGTGTTCAGCCGAAAACGCCGGTCTAGCGAAAACCTGGGTGGGGTTTTCGGATTCGGATGCGGTCGTTTGCATTCAGGGTGTTTTGAGGAAGAGGACAGTGGACATTAGGGAGTCTAGGATCAATGGTTTTTACTGATTTTACTAGCACGCATGGTTTAGGGCTTGTAAGAGTGACCATGGTTGCCCCCCATGCCTCATGCAGGATGGCCGAAGTTCCAACTTGGCATCATGCGAGAAAATCATGTGTTTAGGACCCAAAGTTTAGGATATGTCAGCAGCCGACGGGATGGCCGAGACCTGACTAGATGATGCAATTAGGAGGCAGATGGGGGCCACAAGGATTCGAAGCTGACATTCTAGAAGAGTACAATTCACAGAACTACAACTCCCTGCCTCGACTTTTTCCAATCGGCAGCACGCAGCATGTATTAGGATTCTGGTTACCCTTAAGGGTTGACTCATCGTCGTGAGCATCCATGGAACCCGTGGAGCGCGTCCACGTTGAAGTCAACGGCGTGTTGGGGCTCGTGCCCCAAAGCTGGCCGCCAGGACCAGTCCATGTGGCGGCCGTTCTGCCAAGCAGCGTCCTGGCATCCAGGATTGGTGTCGGTGACGAGCTTGTGAAGGTCAACGATGCCAGCGTGTGCGACTTGGATCGGTCTACACTTGCGCGTGAGCTCAGCAGGAGGCCGCTGAGCTTAGAAATCAAGCGATTCGCATCGTTACCTCGGGAGTGCTTTTCCGAGACCATCGATGTTCAAGTGGCGGTCTCCGATGGTGCCGTCGGCTTCTGCCCTCGAGATTGGCACAGTAAGCCGATTGTGGTTGGAGCTGTCCTCCCCAACCAAGCCGCAGCTGCGAAAGGTGTCAGAGAGGGCGATGTTCTAGTGCTGGTTGATGGGCAGCAGGCAAACTCCATGACGGCTGCTGAGCTCGCTACAGCTTTGTCGCGAAGGCCAATCTCCATTCGCTTCCAGCGCCTCGACGGGAATGAGACTGCTCGTGGTGATCAGTTCCTTGCCTCTCTCGACGACGCTCCGCCTCCGAGAATGGGCGCAAGCGCTGCGGCCGCGGATGCAGATGCACGAGGTGGACGGGATGGGCGCGAGCTGCTCCCATCCCAAATCGCCACAGCGACGGCAAAGGAAGGCATCGAGGTCACCTCGGCGGCCTCGGCAGAGGCCGGCTCGCTGTCGGCGGCGGTGCCTCGGAGGCCCCCGAAGCCCAGGCGCCCCGTGAAAGTTCGCTCCAACCAAGAGCCGCAGCAAGCCGAGCAAAGAGAGCTCACGGAATCAACTCGGCGCCCTCCCCAGCCAGCGAAGCCAGCAACAAAACCAGCAAAGCCGGAGGCACCGCGAGAGGCTCGAGAGGGCGGAACGCAGACAGAAGTCACGATGACGGCAGATAAGGGAGTACAGCCGGATATTGAACCTCAAGATCTTGAAGAGCCGCCGCAGCCGCTGTCTGCAGAGAGTGCTCATGTGGTGTCGTTTGAGGAGGAGGAGGAGGAGGCTCGCTCGGAGGCTCAAGCCTGTGATCAAGATGTCGACGAAGTTGCGGCGGCTGCTTCTGCGGACTTGCCAGCCTTGCTTCGGCCGCCAAGCATCCCCGAGCCACAGCCGGACATGCCACCGCTGCGGCCCAGGGATTTCAACCGGACCCCATCGCCAGAGCCTTTCAAGTTCCGGGAGTTGCCACCTCCCAGAGCCCCACCGGCCCTCTGGGATGAGCCCTCCGGAGATCTCGAAAACATCGCCGTCGCCAAGCCGCGGTCTCTGAGGCCTTCGATGCTCAAAGAGCTGCCGCCTCCGGACCGCCCGCCGCTTCCCGTCGAGACAGCCCGGGCCCGAGTTTCGGAGAAAGGGGGTCTTTCGTTTAGTTTGTGATTGTTTCGGCTCTTGTTCTCAGTGCTGGTTCTACTTAGGGTTTAGGGTTTAGGGGATTCTACTTGAAATCGAGTGCATGGATTTCGTAAGATTCCTGTCTTTGGGCGACGAGGAAGCGGAGCTGCAGCTTTGGCGCCACGTGCCGGAAGATCTGAAGCCGAATTCCCCGGAGACCGCAGAGGATCTGGAAGAGTGGCTCAGGTTATGTTATCTGCCCGACAGCACAACCATCTTCTAGATTCAGCAGGAAACTGTGCTTTAACAGATGTGCTGGCGAAGGTGGCCATGGAATGCTGCAGACGATGCACAATCGAACTCGATGTGCGTTCTGCTACGACTGTCACTGCTTTCATGGACTTGGTTTGCCGACCTTAAACGCGAAAACAACCTGTCGCACAGGGTGATCCCGCACTCACGCATCCTACTCTGACGTCTCCCCGGACTCATCTGTCCTGCATCTTGGAATGAGAAATTCGGACAACGAACGCTTGCGCTTTGCAAGTACAGGGCTGTTGATGCGGTCTTGTCTCACACTACTGCACTGAAGCCTGGTCGAACTCGGACGAATGAAGTTGTCGCAGCAAAAGGGCGGCTATCTCTGAATTCTCATGAAAAATTGATAATATAAGCTGCCTAGAAATATTATCATTTGAGAAAATGAGAAAGCTACGAAAACCGGCCTTGCTTCAAAACATTTTGTTGTATTCTACATGGTGCTATAACTGTCGAGATCGAATTCGGAAATAATTATGGCGGTCATAATGGATTTGCTCGGATTGATTCGGATTGCTAGACTTCGGCTACTTATATAAGGAGGGTATGAAACATAAGTTGCCGTCGACTCGCTTTACCAGAACATTTACTCTATAAAGAACTGCGTGCTTCCTCCGGTTTCGGATTTGCGCACGACGGCTGCCGCGGGATTTTGGTATCGTTGGTATGCCTGCGGCTGTCTGCCTTTAAATTAAAGGCGAGCCCTTAGTACGAAACCTAGAAATTACTGGGATTTTGAGGTTCTTGTGCTGAGCGCTGTGTGGTACGAAACCCACAAAAATCCCGGGGATGTCGGGGCTTCGTACCGTATGTAACGCTGGAAATCCTTGGAAAAGTATGATTCCGTACCGCACCAAATTCCTGGCAAATTCAGTGTTTCGCACCACGATATTTTCGGTCAATTTCATTCTGTATTCTAGCCTTCGCTTCATTACGCTGCTTCGACAAACATGGTATATCATCGACATTCAATACTTTCGTACATGATTGGAGGCTGTATACAGGCCATGCATGCCGTGTGTAATGTACTCCAGCATGGTAAGGTACCTTGAAGACTTACAGTGTCTGTCCACTGTCGCAGGACCGATGGACCGACCAGACATCGCAGCTACAGACCGGAACGTGCAAACGCAAGTTGTGGGCGTGCGTCGTGGGGAGTGTCGGGCGATGGCGTGTCGAGGTGTGTCACGGGTTTGTGGGTGAGGGCGGAGTGGCGGGTGAGGGCGTGTCGCGGACTGGCAGGCGAGGGTGTGTTTCGTGGGGAGTGTCTCGAAGTAGCGGGCGAGGGCGTGAGTGTCGTGGGAGTGTTGTGGAGTGGCGGGCGGGGGCGTGTGCGTTGTGGGCGTGGAGCGGCAGGCGAGAGCGGGTCGGAGGGGAGAGTCGCGGAGTGGGGCGAGGGCACGCGTGTCGGGGACAGTGTCGTGCGAGGAGTGTCGCGGAGAGTCGACGTGAGTGTCGCGAAGTGACGGGCGAGTGCGGGAGAGGGTCTGGAGTCGTGGGCGAGGGCAGGTCGAGGAGCGTGTCGCGAAGTGGCGGGCAAGGGCGTGGGTGTTGTGCCGGGGGGGGGGAAGTGCCTCTGACGGCGTGTAGTGGTGGGGAATTTCGTGCAGGAGTGTCGCGGAGTGGTGGGCGAGGATGGGTGGTGAGTGTGTGTGGGTGGGAAGTGTCGCCGAGCGTGGGCGTGGGGATTCGTGGGGGAAGGGGAGGGTCGTGGAGTGGTGGATAGGGTGTGGGGGAAGTGTGGCGGGAGAAACGAGGGTGTGGGTCGTGGGGAGGACAGAATGGTGGGTGAGGAGGTATATGCTGTAGGTTGTGGGGGGAGTGGTGGGCGAGGGTAGGTGTCGTGGAGAGGGGGGCGAGGGCCTTTGCAATGTGACGGATTGGCGGGCAAGGGCGGCTCGAGGGGAGTATCGCGGTATGGTAAGTTCGGGCCGGGGCGTGAGTATCGTGAGTGTGGAGGATTGGATGAGGGCGGGTCGGCGGCAGTATCGCGTAGTGGGGCGGTCGGGCGAGGGCAGGGGTCGTGGAATATGGGTGGATGGT